ACCTCCAAGTGTACGCTCTTCTCCCTCTCCTACCATCCAAGTGTCCGCCTCTCCTGGCCCTCCTACCCTCCAAGTGTCCGCCTGGCCCCCTCCTACCCCTCCAAGGTCCGCCTTTCTCCACCCTCCAAGGGTCCGTCTTCTCCTGGCCCTCCTTCCATCCAAGTGTCCGCCTTCTCCTGGCCCTCCTACCATCCAAGTGTCCGCCTTCTCCTGGCCCTCCCACCCTCCAAGTGTCCGCTTTCTCCTGGCCCCTCCTACTCCCTCCAAGTGTCCGCCTCTCCTGGCCCTCCCACTCCAAGTGTCCGCCTCCTGGCCCTCCTACCATCCAAGTGTCCGCCTTCTCCTGGCCCTCCTCACCATCCAAGTGTCTGCCTTCCCTGGCCCTCCTACCATCCAAGTGTCCGCTCTTCTCCTGGCCCTCCCACCTCCAAGTGTCCGCCTTCTCCTGGGGCCCTCCTACCATCCAAGTGTCCGCCCACCTGGCCCTCCTCCCTCCAAGTGTCCGCCCTCTCCTGGCCCCTCCCACCTCCAAGTGTCCGCCTTCCTCCTGGCCCTCCTACCTCCAAGTGTCCGCCTTCCTGGCCCTCCCACCATCCAAGTGTCCGCCTCTCCTGGCCCTCCACCATCCAAGTGTCCGCCTTCTCCTGGCCCTCCTACCCTCCAAGTGTCTGCTTTCTCCTGGCCCTCCCCACCTCCAAGTGTCCGCCTTCCTGGCCTCCTACCATCCAAGTGTCCGCTTTCTCCTGGCCCTCCTACCCTCCAAGGTCTGCCTCCTGGCCCTCCTACCCTCCAAGTGTCCGCCTCTCCTGGCCCTCCTACCCCTGTGTCCTGCCTTTCTCCTGGTCCTCCCACCTCCAAGTGTCTGCCTCTCCTGGCCCTCCTACCATCCAAGTGTCCGCCTCTCCTGGCCCTCCTACCCTCCAAGTGTCTGCCTCTCCTGGTCCTCCTACCATCCAAGTGTACGCCTTCTCCTGGCCCTCCTACCTCCTCCAAGTGTCCGCCTTCTCCTGGCCCTCCCACCTCCAAGTGTCCGCCTTCTCCTGGCCCTCCTACCCTCCAAGTGTCCGCCTTCTCCTGGCCCTCCCACCCTCCAAGTGTCTGCCTTCTCCTGGCCCTCCCCTCCCTCCAAGTGTCCGCCTTCTCCTGGCCCTCCTACTCCTCCAAGTGTCTGCCTTCTCCTGGCCCTCCTACCATCCAAGTGTCCGCCTTCTCCTGGCTCCCTCCCACCCTCCAAGTGTCTGCCTCTCCCTGGCCCTCCTACCTCCAAGTGTCTGCCTTCTCCTGGCCCCTCCACCCTCCAGTGTCCGCCTTCTCCCTGGCCCCTCCTACCTCCAAGTGTCTGCCTTCTCCTGGCCCTCCTACCATCCAAGGTATACGCCTCTCCTGGCCCTCCCCATCCTCCAAGTGTCCGTCTTCTCCTGGGCCCTCCTACTCCAAGGTCTGCCTTCTCCTGGCCCTCCCACCATCCAAGAGTCCGCCTTCTCCTGGCCCTCCTACCTCCAAGTGTCCGCCTTCTCCTGGTCTCTCCTACCATCCAAGTGTCTGCCTCTCCTGGCCCTCCTACCCTCCAAGTGTCCGCCTTCTCCTGGCCCTCCCACCATCCAAGTGTCCGCCTCTGGCCCCCTCCACCCCCTCCAAGTGTCCGCCTTCTCTCTGGCCCTCCTACTCCCTCCAAGTGTCCGCCTTTCTCCTGGCCCTACCCTCCAAGTGTCCGCCTTCTCCTGGCCCTCCTACTCCCTCCAAGTGTCTGGCTCTCTCCTGGCCCTCCTACCTCCAAGTGTCCGCCTTTCTCCTGGCCCTCCACTCCCAAGGTCTGCCTTTCCTGGCCCTCCTACCATCCAAGGTACGCCTTTCTCCCTCTCCCACCTCCAAGTGTCCGTCTTCTCCTGGCCCCCCACCTCCAAGTGTCCGCCTTCTCCTGGCCCTCCTACCCTCCAAGTGTCCGTCTTCTCCTGGCCCTCCTACCATCCAAGTGTACGCCTTCTCCTGGCCCTCCTACCATCCAAGTGTCCACCTTCTCCTGGCCCTCCTACCATCCACTTTGCTCACTATTTCTGGTATTATCTCCTCATCTTTAATTATATGAACAAATTATCTAATTTATCTATTTATGTTCTGTTCATTTAAGGTATTTCTCCTGAAGTTTTTGCCAGTCTTAATACTTCATTTGTTTTCCTGTCAGTGTAGCTTATTCTTAGCCTTCGTCGATATTACCACATGTCAAAGGCCCCCCAACTTGTTACTGGTGTCCACCCCTCTGACCCATACATCAGTCCTTGCCATATAAAGTCTTTCAGCAACATTTTCCTCAAATTGAAGTTAATGTCCCTTTTCATTAGGTCTTTTAGTTTATTAAATGCTGTTTCTGCTTGACCTATTCTTGTTTTGATTTCTTCCGAACATCAACCATCTCAGATAATGTTACTTCCCAAATACATAAAATTTTCACTTGTGTAAGTTCCCTGCTGCTGACCATAATTTGTATTTTAAGATTTATTTCCAGTTTGTAAACTACCATTACTTTAGTCTTTCCAGGATTAACTATTAAAGAATATTTTTCACCCTTTTCCACGAATTTGTTAACGAGTTTCTGCAATGTTTCTTTACTACCTTTGATAACTACAGTGTCACCTGTATGGCGTATAATCGATATTACTTTACCATTAATTTTTAGTCCTTCATTATCGTTGATAACTTCTTTCAATAATAGTTTTGTATATACTGTATATTGTTGGAGATAAAACACAGCCTTATCTTACTCCCTGTCTAACTTTGAAACAGTTAGTAAGTTCATTATTTACTAACACTGCAGCCTCCTGTTGGCAATAAAAATACTTTAAATTTCTAATATCTCCTCTTTAATACCGAGTTTTTCCAAAATGTCTATAAAGTTTATCGTGTTTTACCTTATCAAACACTGTTTTCAAAATCAATAAAGCAGATACACAAATTTCTTTAGACTTCAAACTCTTTCACTCAAATTCTCAAACTAAACATAACACTACTTATATGGCTAATTGTTCTAAACTGGACGCACTCTAAAGCTTATTATTTTTTAAGTAATAACAAAAGTCAACCCCACAGGCATGTAATTTTTCACATTGCTCAGTTTCCTCAACGTCTGTTTCCACAATTGGCATTTCGATCTTTATTTCCTTTCGTTTCTTACCTCAGCTCTACCCTCATGACTGTACAGTTCTCCGTACTCTGCCCACCTCTTTCACATCTGCCCTAAACATGATCTTTTAGTCTCGTCTTTAATACTCACAACCCATTTATAATCCTTTTCTGGTGAATTTGTTTAATCTTTCTGTATATTTTCCTATAATTATGTATTTTCTATTTTTTGGGATTAAGTTTTTGAAAGCCTCACTTCGTCTATGTATTTCGTTTTAAAGTTAATTTGTCATCCACCGACCTTAAGCCTCGTTCCTCCTGTAAGTTTTTCTCCCACCCTCTAATATTGTTTCTTTGGAATTATTATAGTTATGTCTTGGTTCTTGTTTATCAAAGTCACCGTCTAGTAATAATATAAATCTATTTTCGGTTTCAATTTCATATTCTATTCCTGCTCCTGTTTTGAGTTTCCCGAAATCCCAGTTGATTTTTGTCATATTTTTGGTTTTTTAATGAAGTTTTAGCCTCAACTAATTACTGGGACGTGATCTGACCCACAATCTACCCCTGGAGAGGTCTTGGTTCGGGTTATTGGACTTCTGAATCTTTTCTAAATTAAAACGTAATCTATTTGATTCCTGAAAAATTTATTTTTATTGTCCTGGGGTGAGAACCATGTACGGAGATGCCTAGGGAGTTCTTCAAACCATGTATTTGCAATAATCACCTTGTTTTTCTTACAATAGTCAATTAATATTAATTTTCTCCTCTTTCATTTATATACCCAACCCATTTGGTCCTACTTCTGCTATTTCTTCCCCTTCCTAACTTTAGCGTTAAAAATCACTCGTTATAATCAGTTATTCATTCAACTTTACGGTGTCTTTTGTTTTATTTAAATATTCATATTTTTTTCTCTAAAACTTCATCCTCACTATTATCTGTTGTTGCATAAGCCTTTGCATCACCAAGTCCATGGGTTGGGCAATAAACTTGACGAACAAAACTCCACCTGACACTGACCAATATCCATTTACACTCTTGATAAACTTGAGGTTTACAGGAACATCACCTAAAACGACGAACGTAATGGTTTATAAATTGGAAATAAATTAAAAAATATATATGATAGGCAACAAGGAACAAAAATAAGTGAAAATTTTAATGTATTTTAGGAGTAACTTTAGGTTTGACGATAGATGTACGGAAGAAATCCTAAGGTCAAGCAAGACAGCATTTCATAATTTCAAGAGCCTAATGAAAAAGAACATGAGAATATGAGAAAAAGGCTGCTGAAAGACCTCATATAACAAGAGCTAATGTATGGCTCAGAAACGTGGACACTCTCAGCAGACACCAGAAAGATGTTGGAGGCCTTTGATATGTGGTGTTCCAGGTGAATGTTAAGAATAAGTTACACTGACAGGAAAACAAAAAGATCAAGATAAATACTTGATATGTAAAGAAAAATGAGAGGCTTTGGTAATTTAATTCAGGATAAAAAAACATTTTGATGGGCAAAGTTGAAGGTAGGAGGGCCAAGGGAAGGCAAAGACTGGGATGGATGAATGAAATTATAAAATGGGTCCTTAAAGAGATACAAAATCTTGGAGGATTGGTATAAACTGCCCAAGAACGTGGAGAACTGTGATCTCCATCCTTAGATATGGGGACGGTACTCTGAGATAGTGTTCACCGTGTAGGAGGCCACTAAGGAATATTTTACAAACAATTCCACCGATTATATTAGAAATCATTAATTAAATCCTGTAGGTTTGCTTCTAAGAGAGTGTGTAGAATGCTTTTAGGTTAGATAAATATTACACACATCCCAAATATATCGACAGTTAGTACTAAGAGAGCCAGAGTGTTCACCAGCTTACCGACTATGTTGTAGCCAGATCTTGATAGTCCAATCAATGGAGCAGGAAAGGAAGACTCTACGGTGATGCGTGTTCCAAGTGACTCTCCGGACCGGGGAGGTGTGTGCGGGGTAGCGGAAGAGGGAGTGCGTGGCAGAGGTGGTACAACACTGAAATAACACCCCCGTGTCCACACCCATCAACAACACGCTCTCGTCGTCTGGTTTGAATGCAATACATGTTGCAACACCTGCAATGAAAATTTTCTTAGTGATATAAATAGTGCTTTTAATATTTATTGGGAGGTGCAAATAATTGAACTTACCTCACGTGTGTGTGTGTGTGTGTGTGTGTGTGTGTGTGTGTGTGTGTGTGTGTGTGTAAGACACTATCACAAGAATATTAGCTTAATTTTGCTATTATCACAGTATACCTAGATATAAGACATTAACAGTATACCTAGATATAAGACATTAACAGTATACCTAGATATAAGACATTAACAGTATACCTAGATATAAGACATTAACAGTATACCTAGATATAAGACATTAACAGTATACCTAGATATAAGACATTAACAGTATACCTAGATATAAGACATTAACAGTATACCTAGATATAAGACATTAACAGTATACCTAGATATAAGACATGAACAGTATACCTAGATATAAGACATTAACAGTATACCTAGATATAAGACATTAACAGTATACCTAGATATAAGACATTAACAGTATACCTAGATATAAGACATTAACAGTATACCTAGATATAAGACATTAACAGTATACCTAGATATAAGACATTAACAGTATACCTAGATATAAGACATTAACAGTATACCTAGATATAAGACATTAACAGTATACCTAGATATAAGACATTAACAGTATACCTAGATATAAGACATTAACAGTATACCTAGATATAAGACATTAACAGTATACCTAGATATATAGACATTAACAGTATACCTAGATATAAGACATTAACAGTATACCTAGATATAAGACATTAACAGTATACCTAGATATAGGACATTAACAGTATACCTAGATATAAGACATTAACAGTATACCTAGATATAAGACATTAACAGTATACCTAGATATAAGACATTAACAGTATACCTAGATATAAGACATTAACAGTATACCTAGATATAAGACATTAACAGTATACCTAGATATAAGACATTAACAGTATACCTAGATATAAGACATTAACAGTATACCTAGATCTAAGACATTAACAGTATACCTAGATAAAAGACATTAACAGTATACCTAGATATAAGTCATTAACAGTATACCTAGATATAAGACATTAACAGTATACCTAGATAAAAGACATTAACAGTATACCTAAATATAAGTCATTAACAGTATACCTAGATATAGGACATTAACAGTATACCTAGATATAAGTCATTAACAGTATACCTAGATAAAAGACATTAACAGTATACCTAGATATAAGACATTAACAGTATACCTAGATATAAGACATTAACAGTATACCAAGATAAAAGACATTAACAGTATACCTAGATATAAGTCATTAACAGTATACCTAGATATAAGACATTAACAGTATACCTAGATAAAAGACATTAACAGTATACCTAGATAAAAGACATTAACAGTATACCTAGATATAAGTCATTAACAGTATACCTAGATATAAGACATTAACAGTATACCTAGATATAAGACATTAACAGTATACCTAGATAAAAGACATTAACAGTATACCTAGATAAAAGACATTAACAGTATACCTAGATATAAGACATTAACAGTATACCTAGATATAAGACATTAACAGTATACCTAGATATAAGTCATTAACAATACCTAGATATAAGACATTAACAGTATACCTAGATATAAGACATTAACAGTATACCTAGATATAAGTCATTAACAGTATACTGAATAAGACATTAACAGTATACCTAGATATAAGACATTAACAGTATACCTAGATATAAGACATTAACAGTATACCTAGATTATATACCTAGATATAAGACATTAACAGTATACCTAGATATAAGACATTAACAGTATACCTAGATATAGGACATTAACAGTATACCTAGATATAAGACATTAACAGTATATACCTAGATATAAGACATTAACAGTATACCTAGATATAAGACATTAACAGTATACCTAGATATAAGACATTAACAGTATACCTAGATATAGGACATTAACAGTATACCTAGATATAAGACATTAACAGTATACCTAGATATAAGACATTAACAGTATACCTAGATATAAGACATTAACAGTATACCTAGATATAAGACATTAACAGTATACCTAGATATAAGACATTAACAGTATACCTAGATATAAGACATTAACAGTATACCTAGATATAGGACATTAACAGTATACCTAGATATAAGACATTAACAGTATACCTAGATATAAGTCATAACAGTTACCTAGATATAAGTCATTAACAGTATACCTAGATATAAGACATTAACAGTATACCTAGATATAAGACATTAACAGTATACCTAGATATAAGACATTAACAGTATACCTAGATATAAGACATTAACAGTATACCTAGATATAAGACATTAACAGTATACCTAGATATAAGACATTAACAGTATACCTAGATATAAGACATTAACAGTATACCTAGATATAAGACATTAACAGTATACCTAGATATAAGACATTAACAGTATACCTAGATATAAGACATTAACAGTATACCTAGATATAAGACATTAACAGTATACCTAGATATAGACATTAACAGTATACCTAGATATAAGACATTAACAGTATACCTAGATATAAGACATTAACAGTATACCTAGATATAAGACATTAACAGTATACCTAGATATAAGACATTAACAGTATACCTAGATATAAGACATTAACAGTATACCTAGATATAGGACATTAACAGTATACCTAGATATAAGTCATTAACAGTATACCTAGATATAAGACAGTATACCCAGATATAAGACATTAACAGTATACCTAGATATAAGACATAACAGTATACCTAGATATGTTTCATTAACAGCATACCTAGATATAAGACATTAACAGTATACCTAGATACATGTCATTAATAGTATACCTAATTATAAGACATTAACAGTATACCTAGATATAGGACATTAACAGTATACCTAGATATAGGACATTAACAGTATACCTAGATATAAGTCATTAACAGTATACCTAGATATAGGACATTAACAGTATACCTAGATATAAGTCATTAACAGTATACCTAGATATAAGACATTAACAGTATACCTAGATATAAGACATTAACAGTATACCTAGATATAAGTCATTATCAGTATACCTAGATATAAGACATTAACAGTATACCTAGATATAAGATTATCAACAGCATACCCAGATATAAGTCATACACAGCATACCTAGATATAAGCTACACAGTATACCTAGATATAAGACATTAACAGTATACCTAGATATAGGACATTAACAGTATACCCAGATATAAGACATTAACAGTATACCTATAGATATAAGATATTAACAGTATACCTAGATATAAGACACAACAGTATACCTAGATATAAGACATTAACAGTATACCTAGATATAAGACATTAACAGTATACCTAGATATAGGACATTAACAGTATACCTAGATATAAGACATTAACAGTATACCTAGATACATGTCATTAATAGTATACCTAATTATAAGACATTAACAGTATACCTAGATATAGGACATTAACAGTATACCTAGATATAGGACATTAACAGTATACCTAGATATAAGTCATTAACAGTATACCTAGATATAGGACATTAACAGTATACCTAGATATAAGTCATTAACAGTATACCTAGATATAAGACATTAACAGTATACCCAGATATAAGACATTAACAGTATACCCAGATATAGACATTAACAGTATACCTAGATATAAGATGACACAGTATACCCAGATATGCTACATACATTACGCATACCTAGATATAAGATATTATATACCTAGATATAAGACATTAACAGTATACCTAGATATAAGTCATTAACAGTATACCTAGATATAGGACAGTATACCTAGATATAAGACATTAACAGTATACCTAGATATAAGTCATTAACAGTATACCTAGATATAAGACATTAACAGTATACCTAGATATAGGACATTAACAGTATACCTAGATATAAGACATTAACAGTATACCTAGATATAAGACATAAACAGTATACCTAGATATAAGACATTAACAGTATACCTAGATATAAGACATTAACAGTATACCTAGATATAGGACATTAACAGTATACCTAGATATAAGACATTAACAGTATACCTAGATATAAGACATTAACAGTATACCTAGATATAAGACATTAACAGTATACCTAGATATAAGACATTAACAGTATACTAGATATATGAGCAGTAACAGTATACCTAGATATAGGACATTAACAGTATGCCTAGATATAAGACATTAACAAATATACCTAGATATAAGACATTAACAGTATACCTAGATATAAGGATTAACATTAACAGTATACCTAGATACTAAGACATTAACAGTATACCTAGATATAAGACATTAACAGTATACCTAGATATAAGACATTAACAGTATACCTAGATATAAGACATTAACAGTATACCTAGATATAAGACATTAACAGTATACCTAGATATAAGACATTAACAGTATACCTAGATATAAGACATTAACAGTATACCTAGATATAAGACATTAACAGTATACCTAGATATAAGACATTAACAGTATACCTAGATATAAGACATTAACAGTATACCTAGATATAAGACATTAACAGTATACCTAGATATAAGACATTAACAGTATACCTAGATATAAGACATTAACAGTATACCTAGATATAGGACATTAACAGTATACCTAGATATAAGACATTAACAGTATAGATACCTAACAGTATACCTAGATATAAGACATTAACAGTATACCTAGATATAAGACATTAACAGTATACCTAGATATAAGACATTAACAGTATACCTAGATATAAGACATTAACAGTATACCTAGATATAGGACATTAACAGTATACCTAGATATAAGACATTAACAGTATACCTAGATATAAGTCATTAACAGTGTACCTAGATATAAGTCATTAACAGTATACCTAGATATAAGACATTAACAGTATACCTAGATATAAGACATTAAC